CGCAAGGGGATCGCTACCATCGGCATTGCGGCCGCGCGTCGCTCAGCCGGTGGGGGGCCGGTCTGTATGGGGGATCCAAACCCTCGGCGGGCGCGCCGCCGCGCTTCCCAAGCGGCGCACTGTAGCAGTGCGCCACCGGGCCGGCCCCAAAGACACATCTTAATGAAACTTCTGAGAACAAAAGACAAATAAAAGACCTTGAAAGTGGTGACATAGAAAGGACAACTTATCTATAGGAGGGAGATGGTTCTAATGACAGGATTTTTCATAAGAACCTGTGGGAGCCAGAAGGAAGTGGCACAACATTTTTCAGATGCCAAAATAAAAGAACTGTCGACATAGAATTCTATATCCAGCAAAAATATCCTTTAGGAATAAAGGGGAAACTAAGAGAATTGGCCACCAGGAGACCTGCCCTAAAAGAATGGCTAAAAAAAAGTTCTCTAAACAAAAAGAAGTTATAAAAGAAAGAATTTTGGAACATCAGGAAGGAAGAACAACTGGAAGAGTAAAAGTGTGGGTAAACGTAATACATTTTCCTTCTTGAGTTTTCTAAATTGTTTGACATTTGAAGCAAAAATTATAGCATTGTCTGATACAGTTCTAAGTGTATGTTAAAGAAATATTTAAGACAATTGTGTTATAAATGAGGAAGGATAAAGTTATATAAGAGAGGTAAGGTTTCTACACTTTACTGGAGATCAAAATATGAATAAAAATGAGGCAGCAGTTTTCACCTGTTAGTTTAGATATCATCAACCTTTAAAATTTTTACCAGTTCAGTGAGACCATTGGAGAAGAGGTCTCTATCAACTTTTTGGAGGGCAATTTTGGCAGTATTTATCAATTTTTAATATCAAGAATTGACCCAATAATCCCCTTTCTAGTAATCTGTCTTGATAGAAACATTCCCACAAAAGGTGTAATAGTGTGTACAAGGTTGTTTACTGATAAAAAATGACAACTTAATGCCCATCAGTAGGGGAATTGTTAAGTCATGATAAATCTGTGCTATAGAATACAGTAATTGAAAAAGAATGGGGAAGATCTGCTTTTTTCAAAAATATATAAACCTATGAAATAATATCAGTGCTTTATATAATTTAAAGAAGAAAGCAAATCTTGGCATAATGTCAGATTCCATTTTGTCAAAAATAAAGGATGCTTGAACACATATACATACACATGTATTTTTATGTTTGTATTTTTGGGCACAGTGATGGGGTGTGTAAATATACACATGTTGTGTATATTTGGAAGGGTACATAATAAAAACTTAATAGTACTTCCCTTTGGAATGTAGCTAGGTGGAAGTAGAGGTAGGTATATAGGTATGTTTTCCTTTATGTGCTTTCTCTGGGTTCACAGTATGCAAGTATTCTAATATTATCTAGGCATTGAGGTGCATATGCATTGCATAGAAATATGTTGTTTTTTTTTTTTTTTGTCCTTTTTGAGACCGGCCGCACCACGCTCAGCCAGTGAGCGCTGGGAGCACACCGGTCATCCCTATATAGGATCCGAACCCGTGGTGGGAGCGCTGCTGCGCTCCCAGCGCCGCACTCTCCCAAGTGCGCCACGGGCTCAGCCCAGAAATATGTATTTTTGTCTTGTGTTTTTATTTTCATTAACATGTGGCATCATAATACGTATGGTAATTTATAGTTTCCTTTTTACCTAAGCAGTATATCTTGGAGATCTTCCTATTTCTGAAGATAACAGAATATTTCAGTAGTCAGTATATGTGACTCTGCCATTCCCCCATCTATGCTTTTTTATCCACTGCTTGATAATGAATAAGGTGATAATTTCCCCAAAATTACTATGACTGCTACGTAAGTCTCCCTTAAGCTTAAAGCCGTCCCAAAGATGTTTCCACATTTTTGTGGAATTTTGTTCTGTGGTTCCCTCTTTCAGTCCAGTTCCTTTTTCTCTTCCAGAAACCCTTATAAATTTTTTTTTTATCTATATGCCTTCTTGTTTTCTAGCACTATTGTGGATTGCTTTAAAAGTATATTTGTAAGATGTTACTATCGGGGAAAGCTGGGTGAAGGACATATGGAACTCAATGTATTATTTTTGCAGCTTCCTATGAGTCAATAATTCTTTCAAAATTAAAAATTTTTTTAGAACAGATCTGTCATTTCTTGGGATTTGGGTTGAATGGAGAAGTCTGTAGCAAATGTTCAGTTAATCATTTTGATTCTGTCCTCACTTTTGAATTGTTACAAAAAAGTATATTTTTGAAATAATAAAATTCTACACACCTTTTAAAATAGAATGGATGAGGTAGACTGATATATTTAAACATGAAAAGAAATTTACAGAAAATTAGATTTTTGTATTTGTCCTTTTTAACAGAGAACTTATATTTCATTTCTAATTTGAAAAACAAGAATAGAGAGTTGGGGTAAGTTACAAAGATACATTTCAATTAAAAAGATGCTCGTTAATGAAATAAACTAATAAGTTATGGATTTAATCCTTCTATATGTACTAACTTATGTCCAGTTTTTGTAAATGTTTCCTATAAAAATTATCTTTAATAGAGATAACCAAGTAAAGCTATTCTGATAAAGTATCATTAAACTTTATGTGGGAATATATGAAATAATAAGTGTTCAGTTGAAGCACTCCTGTTTTCAGGAATCCAAGGGATTCAGGATCACAAGTTAGTGGAGCATCTTTCTTCCCAGGCTGGGCCCCAGTGGACCACTTGTTGTAGTAAAAATACTTATCAGTCATTATTTTCAAGCAATTTATGTTGTTACCAAATAACACCGGCACTCAGTACTGTTTGTGTGCTTCAGGGAAATTCCATTTTATTATTTCTTCTTATCATTTAGGGCTTGGTAAAATTAAGCTTTCAAGCAGGAAACTGGGCTTCTACCTGGTAATTTGTCACCCTCACTCTGCTTTCCCAAGACTGGGACAGATCTCAGCTGTGAGCTGGTGTACTCTGCCTCAGTTCAAAGTCCACCCCCAGAGACAACATCCTGATGAGATTCGGAAGGGAGGGTCCCTGACAGTGCTTCCTGAGATGTGCTGTGCTCTGTTCTTGCACTTTCTAAATAAACTGTGGGAAACTTGCTCAGAAGTAATTCTGTGACCCATTCTTTTCCTTAGGCTTTGTGGAAGGGAAGTAAACAACGGAAGAAATATATGTCCAGGCGGCAAACCTTCATGAGTAATATCGATTCTGTCGTGAAGGTAAATATCCTTTCCTCCCATATCAAGTTCTTGGCTTAAACTTTCCCCTCATTTTGTTTTGATTCCAGAAGACAGAGCTGTGGAAAGAATATGTGTGAGCCTTGAAGTCAGTCCTGGGGTTTGAATCCCAACTCCACTACTCACTTAGCTAGTCATCTTTAAGCTGATCATCTTTAAGCATCTTTAAGCAAGTCAACTAAACCACTTTAATTGGCTCAGGTCCTTTATGTGGTTATGAGAATCAATAAATGCTCTTTGTCTGGAAAGCCCAAACTGAATACTTAAATCCTTGGGGGAACCCATCTTTGCTTCATGTTTCTCATCACATTTGTTAATAATATTTAGAATGATCAAATGTAACAGCACAAAACCTTAGTTGTAAGCGCAAATGTAAAACCAGTGACAAGAGGAAATAGAGCTTGAGGAGCTATATTTGGATGCTGAGCTAGTCTAACCCAGCTTTCCACCCAAGTGGATAGCTCTCAGGTGAGAGAAAGAAAAGTCAGTGTGGTTCCTATTCTCTGGAAGTCAAAGGACTATACAAGAATAAACATGTAGAAGACTTGGAAATCCAGATGAGAGCTGGAATAGTGAGGCTGGAGAGAAATTGGAATCAGATGAGATCAGTTTAAAAGACCTTTTAAACTTTGAAGGCAGAAAATGACATGGTCTAGATCCATTGTACATTAGCTCTTTAATGATATAATGTCCTGTCCTCATATGGAACACGTCTAGTCTCTCAGAAAACAGTTGGTAGCAGTTGGTCTCTGTTGAAACCTCTTTAGATGTTTTCCTGTAAAAACCTAAATGATACTGGATGCATTTAAAAGATGATGGAAGAAACTCTAGAGTTAATTTGATTTCCTAAATCATTGCAACTCTCAGCAAAATGCCTTGCTCTCTTGGATTTTATTCATTGAGATTAAAACAAAATACTCATAGTACAAAGCTACATTACCTTCCTCATCTCTCCTACTAAGACAGTGAGATTAAGGATAACATGCAAAGTGTTTTCAACCCCTTAAGAGAAAACAATGAAAGAAGTGGGAGATGAAGAGTAGGCTTTAGATATTTATTATTTAGTGGTCTGCTAATTTTTATTTTTTATCAAATAAAATATTATTTTCAGAAAGACAACATGAAATTGTATTAAGGGTTGTTTGGTGATTGCCTTGATTTCTCTGTTTAACTTATTTTTAGATTCAGTCCTTGTTCCGAATGCTCGCAGCAAGAAAGAACTACCTTTCACGACTGCAGTATTTCAGAGATCATGTAAGAGAAATGACATGTGGGGTTTTAACCGGACTGAGAATGAGTACATGAATGCTTTGTTGAATGTTGTTAGCATTGAATGATTTTTATTAAATGGTGGAAATGAACACTGGAAAAAAATAGATCCTAGAACTCAGTGTGATCCTATTTGGAGGCTTACTTTTTTATTCAGAAATCAGCTCAAGCGAGAGAGACTTCACTGGTCAGTACTGGAAGGGAAGTGGGTGAGAGGAAAACAGCGTGGGGTAGTAACACCAAAGAGAAGATTCTGGAGAGTGTGTTCCAACACTGCGTGTGCAGTTTTTCTAACTGCGAACTTAGTAATTTAATAGAAGCACGCAGGGCCGGCCCAGTGGCACACTGCTACAGTGCGCCGCTTGGGAAGCGCGGTGGCGCTCCCGCCAAGGGTTCGGATCCCACATACAGACCGGCCGCTCACTGGCTGAGCGAGGTGCGGGGGCAACGCCGGGGGTTGCGATCCCGTTGCCGGTCCCGGTCCGGTGCGGGCGCGACACTGAGGGTTGCGATCTGTTGCCGGTCACGAAAAAAAGACAAAAAGGAAAAAAAAAAAAAAATAGAAGCACGCAGGAGGAAATTTTTTCACTCTTTAAAGCATAGATATATGAACATAAATTGGATCATCTAAGTTCTGTGCTAAAATTCTTTTCCCTTTTTAAATCTCTTAATTTAAACAGCCCCCATTCAGTCATGTGTATACTTTTTAGCTGATTTATCTGACCCCCTTTTCAAAGAAGATGGAAAAATAAATGTTAAATACACCACATCTAAGCACTGTCAGTTCTAAATAGTGTCAGTTCTTAAATGTTCTAAATTCTGAAATAGTGGAGTAGATGGGATCTGGGAGGTCATGACTGTGTCTCTATCTTTTGCAGAAAAATGAAATTGTGAAAATACAGTCACTGTTGAGAGCAAACAAAGCTAGAGATAACTACAAGATATTGGGTAAGTGGGAACATTCTGAGCAAAGTGTGGAGTCCTCACAAACCAGGCAAAGACAAGCCATTTCNATATTGTCATTTTTTTGAGGAAATAAGAAACTGTTTAGTAATTTTCCTAGCACAGTGCTTAGTAAGTAGTTTAGCCACACCTTCTGTTGTTTAAAGTTTATTTGAATTAAGGAATGAAGTATATGGCTCAAGAAAGATATTCCCTGGTACTTGTGAAGGAAAAGCCTAGGGAAACTTTGAAGACCACGTTCTGCCTCCAGCCTGCAGAATCTGCTGGACAATACCTTATTCCTGTAGATTCCAGAATTTCGTATGCAAATTTAGTAAGGAAAGTTGGGCCAATCTTTTCAATGCCACAGTGTCTCTACTTTTGAATTAATGAGGTTTGTCTTTCAGTTGGTAGATATCTTTAAGTTTTTTACAAGACGGCTGAAAAGCAGTTTGTTTTCTGACCCCTAACACAAATACAGGTTTGCTACTACTGCCTTTGCATGAAAGATGATTTAAGAGTAAATTTTCCAAATGAACACAAGCTGATTTTAATTTCATTCTAGGTAATATGTTTTTGTGGGTAGTTGTGGTGATGTTTTTCCTTTGTTTATGTTTTTTGTATTACAAAGACTAAAGAAATTACAATTTTAAAATCTATGTGATTTTATTTTAGGGCATAGAAGGTAGATAGGAAACACGTAAGTCAGATCTAAGCTTCTCTGGGCTTCAGCAAATTGGCTACTATTGTGGTCACTGAAATGTTTCATTTCTTTCTCAGTTTAGCATCTTCATAAAACTAGGGTTTTTCAAGTTTTTGACCTGAAAAAGATTATTCTTCTGAGTTTGTCATCATCATTTTCCCTGTTTATCTCTGGAAGGGCACTGATGCAGTCAAGCTTGGAAATTGCTAGAACTGTGAATTGGCCCTTTGTGGGTGCTGACCATGAAGTTGTGTGATTTCCTGAAATTAAAATACCACAAAGTGTCTCTCAGATGAAAATGTCCAAAAGCCTAGTGTCGACGGACTAAATATCCAATTTGAGCCATAACAGTTGGTAAAGCTAAAATATTTAGTTGTTTCTAACAGGCCTATTAGTACATGCTCACATACATACACAATCCTGAGGAGCAGGGGGGAGGCAGCCCTCAACTTTGGACCCGGTGGGGTGTCTCATGTTCTCTCAACTTAGCCACATGAGTGAGCTCTGAAGCATAGCTCAGGCTTTTCCTGAAATGGTTGTCATCGGCAGCGTCTTTGCTAGAAATGGAAGGAAAGTAAATTCACGTGTGCTTCAGTGTTGAGAAATGAAGGGTCCCATGATCCAGGTAACAACAGTAAAGACCATCAAAACTGGCAAAATAGTAATATAGATGACTCCAGATTTGGTCATCCATGCTGGGTTCATGCTTGTGTGTGTTTGTGTTGTTGGTTTAACTCTTGTTATTCCTTGGGTGTCAAAACACCACAGAACGAAGCTGGAAGTAACAGGAAGACTGATTGGGCCCTAGATGTAAAGGAGGAGA